ATGAGGTACAGTAGTAGACTTACAAATTTTTGTGCTTGGGTTTCAATTATACAATGATCGAGTGCCCATCCCTCCACCAGTGCCCATTCTCCACCACCAATGATCCCAGTATCCTTCCCACCTCCCCGGGCCCCCCCATCCCACCTGCCTCTGTGGCAGGGCATTCCTTTTTGTTCTCGCTCTCCTCTTTTGGGTGCTGTGGTTTGCAAAAGAGGCATTGAATGGTAATCATGTTCGGTCTATAGTCTACTTTCAGCATGCATCTCCCATCCTGGGAGCATCCTCCCAACACCCTTTACTTGGTGCTCCCTTCTCTATCTGAGCTGCCTTTTCCCCTAGCATGTGCAGATGGCCTCCAAGGCATGGAATGAACCTCTTGGTACTTATCTCGGCTATTCTTGGGTGTTAGTCTCCTATTTTGTTACTTTATATTCCACAGAATGCAATCTTTCTATGTCTGTCCCTCTCTTTCTGACTCATTTCACTTAGCATGACACTTTCCATGTAGTAACACTTGTATGTAAATTTTATGACTTCATTTTTTCTAACAGCTACATAGTACTCCATTGTATAGATGTACCCAAGTTTCTTTAACTAGTCATCTGTACTCGGGCACTCAGATTTTTTCCAGATTTTGGCTATTGTGAACAGTGCAGCAATGAACATAAAAGTGCAGATGTCATTTTGACTGTACTTTTTTTTTGCCTCTCTGGGATATATTCCCAGAGTGGTATTGCTAGGTCAAGTGGGAGTTCAATTTCTAATTTTTTGAGAATTGTCCATATTGTTTTCTAAAAGGGCTGAACCAGTTGGCATTCCCACCAGCAGTGGAGGAGGGTCCCTTTCTCGCCACATCCATGCCAACACCAGTTGCTTTTGTTCTTTTGGATGTGGGCCAGTCTCTGTGGTGTGAGATGATATCTCACTGTTGTTTTGATCTGCATCTCCCTGATGATTAGTGATGTAGAGCATTTTCTCATGTGCCTTTTAGCCATTTGAATTTCTTCTTTGAGAAAGTTTCTGTTCATTTCATCATCTCATTTTTTGATGGGGTTGGATGTTTTCTTCTTGTGGAGTTCAACCAGTGCTTTGCATATCCTTGATAAGGCCAATAAGCCTCTGGGATGGGTTGGATATTGGGTGAATATCCTTTCCCATTCTGTAGATTGTCTGTATATTCTGGTCACTGTATCCTTTGAGGTGCAGAATCTTCTTAATTTAAGATCGTCCCATTTGTTTATCTCTGTTTCCACTTGGTCAGTGGAGTGTCGTCTTTGAAGATACCGTTAGCCTCGATATCGTGGAGGGTTTTGCCTACCTTATCTTCAATGTGGATTTTGGCCTGATATTGAGATTTTTAATCCATTTTGATCTGACTTTTTTTAAATTTTTTTTTTTACAGTTGTAAATTTACAATTTTTTGTGCTTTGGTTTCAATTATACAATGATCAGATACCCATCCCTCCACCAGTGCCCATTTTCCACCACCATGGATAATATCCCTCCCACTCCCATCCCCCCATCCCCCCTGTCTCTGTGGCAGGGCAATCCCCTGTGTTCTCTCGCTCCTTTTGGGTGTTGTGGTCTGCAAAAGAGGCATTGAGTGGCAAACATGTTCAGTCCATAGTCTACTTTCGACATGCATCTCCCCTCCTGGGAGGATCCTCCAAACATCCTTTATTTGGTGCTCCCTTCTCTATCTGAACTGCCCTTTCCTCTAGGATACCCGGCTGGCCTCTAAGTTATGTTCAGTCCATAGTCTACTTTCGACATGCATCTCCCCTCCTGGGAGGATCCTCCAAACATCCTTTATTTGGTGCTCCCTTCTCTATCTGAACTGCCCTTTCCTCTAGGATACCCGGCTGGCCTCTAAGTTATGGAGTAATCCTCCTGGTGCTGATCTCAGCTATTCTTGGGTATTAATCTCATACTTTGTTACTTTATATCCCCCAGATGAATGCAATTTTTCTATGTCTATCCCTCTCTTTCTGACTCATTTCGCTTAGCATGATACTTTCCATATTGTACCACTTGTATGTAAATTTCATGACTTCATCTTTTCTAACAGCTACATAGTACTCCATTGTGTAGATGTACCAAAGTTTCAAAAATATGGAACGCTTCACGAATTTGCGTGCCATCCTTGAGCAGGGGCCATGCTAATCTTCTCTGTATCGTTCCAATTTTAGTATATGTGCTGCCAAAGTGAGCACTGATCTGACTTTTTTGCATGGTGTTAGTTTGAGGTCTAAGCCCAGTGCCTGGATTTGATTTCAACTCCCGCTAGTCAGCTCATCTTCTGCCTTCGAGGAAACAACTTAGCAGGGGGAAGGGGACATTTGGGAAGGCTGCAGACTCTATTTAGTTTTTCCTTTGCCACATAAGCACTGTCTCAAGGCCCCAGTTTGTCAACTATCCAATCCAAAGTTCTCTACTGGCTTCCCAATGACATTATTCTTGAGAAGTTCATGGCCTGCTTCCTCCAGTTGCAGTTCACATTTCACAGGCTCAATGGATGTGGGTAGAGCTTGGTCTAGAGAGACTTGGTCTCTAGACTCGGTTTAGAGAGAGAATCCCTTTCAATGTCCCTCTCTGCCTGTTGTCTTTAAATAGCCCCCAATACTCTCTCTCTCTCTCTCTCTCTCTCTCTCTCTCTCTCTCTCGCTGGTTGCAGAAAAGCACTTGATGAGTCATTAGGTTAATCTTTGTTGTCATTACTCATCATATATGGAGCACTTTTACTGAGCTGTCTTACAGCCAAGAGACAGTGATGCTGTCACTGGATGGTATTAGGGACCAATAAGCATCTGGTACAAAGGGCCTACCTTGGTTATTAAAACTTGGAGAAGGGAATGGATGAACAGACCAAATGCGGAAGATATATGCAGTGCTGCAGATGGAAACTGGTGAGATCATGAGGACTTGCATTCCCCTGATGCTTTTATATGCAACCAAAGACTTTTGGAACACCAGCAGAAACTCCTCTTTGACATGCAATATTTTGTGGACAGATGGCTCCATCTTTGTGTGCTGTCTTTCTCTAGTACAAATCCTGACTCCAGTATCCTCCCTTCAATCTTACTGGGGCACACACAGCAATTTATGGGTGTATTTCACATACGGTTCACCTCTGACTCAGCATTCAGCAAGGGCTAGTATGAGGTAAAGTTTTATTGAGTGAAGGGTGATGAAGGTAGGCAGGCAGAGGGGCAGTATAAAGGATGAGGAGGTATTTCCCCATCTTTGGGAAAGAGATGTTTGAGACCATTAGAGATGAGCAGGCTAATAATTTTGATTATTAAAGTACGACTGTAAGGGCCAGGAAGACATTAGGTGGATCCCTGGCTCTGTGCCTTTGAACTCTCCCACACAACCATCAACCAGGTTGGCCAAAAATCACTGAGTGGCACTTGGGGGGAGGGGCCTCAACTTATTTATTTCCCCCCTTTTCAAAAAAAAATCCTCAGCATCCCCAGAAGTATATCTTCTTTAAACAAAGACCACCCACTCCTCATTGCACCCAAGGCACTTGTGAGGCCCTCTATCACTCCAGCCATCCTGGAAGCAGTATTGTACACTTTGGGAGTCACCGTACTAGGTGATGGTCAGGGTGGGGAGCTCAGCATGTGCTCTGAGCCTGTGGTGCTCCCTTACTGGCCTCCTGGTGGGTCTCCAGGAACCATTTCTGTTATATCTCTCTTTTTGATGATAGTGTGGATTTGCAACAGAGTGTGTGGATGTAACTGTAGAAATAGGAATAGCACCTATTCCTATCAGAGAATCAGGAGGGAGGGAGGGATGAAGAGAGGGAAGGAGAAGAGAGAGAGAGAGAGAGAGAGAGAGAGAGAGAGAGAGAGAGATTCACTAGTAGTAAGGGACCTAATGGGTAGCTAATGGCCATTATCCCCCCAAATATTTACATTTATTAACCACTTGCTTTTATAGACCACACTACAAAGTGCTGAGATTGTAAAGTTGAAGGCATGCTGTAGATGAAAGAAAATAACCCCAAAATGTCCAGAGGGCCTCTAACAGAGTTGCAGTTAATCATATGACCTAGGCCCCCCCTGAGCAAGTCTTAGCTGTGAGATAGGGATAAGGTCATTGGCTGACTTATGGGCTTGTTCTGAGGGTAGCTAACAGTGAATAGAACCCATATGGCAAACAGGTGAATCAATAAAATTTAAGTGGTCACCCCCTAAGTAGCATGTCCTTAAAAAGTCCCTTTCTTAATTTTACAGAGCTCAGTAAAAGTATCTTCCAAATCTCGGGCCCATCATGTTCCTTGGATGATTACTATGTGCCAAGGATGGAATCTAAGACCTAACATATGTGAGACTTATACATATCACTAGTCACTGAGTCATTCTCCACCTGATAACTTGAATTTTAAATAAAAATCTCCCCATGTTTCCCCTATCAGCCATGTGTGTCTCAGAACAATCTAAGAACGTTTCAGCCCCTCTGCGTCTACAGACCAGAGGGGAAACAGCGTCTAGCCTATCAGGAAGCCAAGAATTGTGAGGATTAAGTGAAGGAAGCCCCACCAGATGCTAACTCGCTCCAAGACAGGGCCACATGTGTTTTGAAGACATACAGACTGAAATCACTTCACAGGGTTGCCCCCCGGCTTGGATAGGTCCATTCAAGTGTCAGAAATGGCATAAAGTTTCAGCAAACAAACCAGCTCTGGAATTCTTATAATTTAGTGACCGTGGCTATGATTTCAGCAGCCTCGGGCTGGCCACTTCACGATGAACAGAATTTTCGTGGGTGAGTTTTGCCGGGGAAGTCCCCCCAAAGCCGGAAACTTGTTCAGAGTCCCCCTCGATGGATACCTTCTGATGTCCAGAGCCAGGATTAGAGGCCAATCGCGACGCCGGTCGCCGGCGCTAGTGGACCCAGGGCAGCGCGGATGGGGTGCGGCGGAGGCGGCGAGCGCGGGCCAATCCCGGGCCGGGTTGGAAGGGCCAATGGGAGCGCGCGTTACACCCGGGCTCGGCGGAGGCGCGGGGACGGCCCCTTGGCTGCGCGTGTGGTCGGCGCGGCCGCGTGCAGAGTCGCTCTAGGTGTAATGTAGTGTCAGGCTGAACAAGTAAGTGACCCTCCTCGCAGGCTCACGTGTCCACCAGCCACTGCAGCGGGCGCGCGGGCACCGTGTCCACGCTTCCCTCCTCTTCCTCCTCTACCTCTCCGGGGGGGGTCTCTGGCGCCGCAATCTGCTGCATCTCGACTCCCTGCGTCCACTTCTCCACCCCTGAGGGGGTCTTGACTGCCTGCCCTACCCCCCCGGCACCCCAAGGCTGCAGAGGGAGGTGCTGGAAGCCGGGTCCCCTGCCCTGTCACTCTGCTCGTCTCCATTTTTAGGGCATTTCCCCAGGCATTTATGGGACCTTAAAAAAAAAAAATCAGTCCAGGTAAGGTACTTTAAGGCCAGGGTTACCTGCACCTGTCACTTATGATGATTGAGGTGCATTTCCTTAGGTGCTATAATGCTTAGCAGTTCCAGTTATCCAGGGTACTAAGAAGGGCCTAGGGGATCTTTCTGTTTTTCTTCATTTCTTTCCTTCTTAAAGATCCTCAAGATGCGAAATGGTTAATCTTTGGCTCTTTTCCACTAAAGCACTTCTTATGTCTTACTTAAATTAAGTCCCTAAATTAAAGGATCCGTCATGGTCATGACTAAGATACCGGGGAGCAGCCATCATTAGGTTAATTTTTTTAAATGGGAAATTAGGAGAAGGAAGTGCTTGCGCTTCTGAATTGCAAATCAGTAGAAAGAAGGCCAGTGTTCTTTTAGTGACTGGCTGTGATTTGTTTTTTACTTAAAAGTTTTAGTTTAGGTACTGTGATTTACAAGATTGATAATGACAGGGGTTTTGTGCAAAAAAAAAAAAAAAATTCCAACACCACACCCTCCACTGTGTTCCAGTAGCTCCCCAGGCCTATCCCATCATGCCCTCTGCAGAGACATATTTCCTATTAAAGACCAGTTCTCAGTTTCTGTTGCCTTTGAGTATTTTTATTTTGGTTTGGGGGGTACATGTAGTGGTTCTCATGGCTTAGTTCTGGCTGCACTGAATTCTGCACTCAGGGATCTCTCCTGGTGGAGCTCAGAGGACCATGTTAGGTGCTAGGAATTGAACCTCATGAGGCAGGTACCCTGCCTACTATACTATCTCTATGGTCCTCTGTATTGTATTTCTTTTCTGTTATTTGATATATACCACATATGAAGGCGATCATTGTGTACCTCTCCCTCTCCTAACTAACTTTACTCAGCTTCGTACTCCTTCAGATCCTTCCACGGAGCTGCAAATTGCCTATCTTCCTTTGTTCTTCTACTGTCATTTAGCCTGTAGAATTTTGCTTTATTTTGTTTTGCCTGCTTTTTGTTTTGCCCGCCCCCAATCCCCTTTACTATGATCCACCAAGAGCGTGTAACCTTAATTTAAAAAAGCAAAATTTTTTTTTCAGTTGCCAGCTGGGTCATCAGACCTTTGACCACCTCTTGGTCTTCTGGGACTCTCTCGCTAATGAGGCCCATGCACTTGGCTTTTGACCCTATGATGAAGGGCTGGGCTCTTTGAAGGACTAGCAGAAGACCAAGTCCTAGTGGGAGACCTTGAGGACTGTTAAGAAGGCAGATTGAGAAAGAGATCCTGGAGGGTGAAAAGGGCTTGGAAATTCCCTGTGGAGTAGGGAGGGATAGGTTGTGTGCCTCCCAGACTGCATTTAGAAATCAACCCGGAACATGTGTACTGGGAATTAGGGACTCACCCTGAGGGTGGAGAGTTGTGACTTTCTCTATGAAATTAAACTTGCTGGGAGGAGAGGAGACCTTCTTTCAGCCTGTATTCATTTTGGTCTGAGCATTGTCTTTTCCTGGAATCTGGTTCCCTTCCTGTAAAATTTCACTGCCTTCAAATCACGGTCTGCCATCAGGTGGTTTTGAAGATAATGTGAGCTGAATCTTACCCATAACCCCCTCCCCCCAAAGTCAGAGTGGACCCCCGTTCCCCAGAAGTTCTGAAATATTTCTTTTACAAGCATGTCCTATGGAGATCTCCTTGCCTCTTCACTGCTCATTTCTATAAGGTGGTTTCTTGAATCAACCCTGGCCCATGCAAGAGGTCATCCAGCCAGTTCTTCTGTCCCTTCCTGTGGCAGCTTAATTTTTGTCATATGTTTTGGGCCCAGTACTATGATCTGGAGAAGTAACTATGAGCAAGACTAGATCTCTACTTTCAAACTTGAGTCTGACTGTGTGTGTATGGTTAGAGGATTTAGGAGACACCTGATTTGCAGAAACCTCTCAGGAGCTGAGAGAAGGGGAATGGCCTGATAGGAGGGTTTGCAGGTGATGTCCCCAGTGAGTTCCTTGAAAGGCCTCCATAGAACAGGTTGGAAAAGGAAGGGTAGGGGTTGGGAATGGATGTGCCAAGGTGTATAAGTATGACTCATGGCTGATCAGTGTGGCTGCAGTTGGAAAGGTGAGGTGTAGCTCCCAGGAAGGAGGCTGGGGAAGGTAGGAGAGCAGCTGAGGATCTGTAAGGAGGGAATGTGGGATGAATCTGTGGTGCAACCTCTGAGATTTGTGTTGGAAAGTGATGCTGGCTGCAGAGTGGGGAGTGCATTGGCTGCTGCTGAGGGAAGAGAGATGATGGTGTAACAGAAGGGAGAGATGGGTTGGGGGAACAGTCCTGGAACTAGAGAAAGCTTAAGAGAAGATGGGGAGGGATTATCTTCTGACCCAACCTAGGAGGAGAAAAATGAATGTGGTAGACTTTTCAACTGGGATGTTTGTTCCCAGCTTTATAGCGTGCCTTATAGAGTGGATACTAGGCCTCATATTAAAGTGTCTAACTTGTAAAGTTTTGACATGGTTTCTCCTTGAAATCATAGTCATAATCAAGATAGCTCTCTAGCACTGTCCTCCTGTTGTTCATCGATTTGTTCGAGCGGGCACCAGTAACGTCTCCATTGTGAGACTTGTTGTTACAGTTTTCGGTGTATCTAATATGCCACAGGGAACTTGCCAGGCTCTGTCATGCAGGAGGGTTACTCTCAGTAGCTTGTTGGGTTCTCCAAGAGGGATGGAGGAATTGAACCAGGGTCGGTTGCATGCAAGGCAAACATCTACCTTCTGTGCTGTCGCTCCAGCCATAATCAAGATAAAGAACATAATTAAGGCCCCTAAAGAGTTCTTGTGCTGCCTTGTAAATCTTTTCCTTAGTGGACTATTCCCTTCCTCCCTCCCTCAGCAACCAATGATCTGCTCTCCCTATTGATAATTTATTTTTAGGATTTTTTTCATATGATATGTATCTTTTAGTTTCTTTTTGTTTTGGGGTCACACCCAATAATGTTACTCTCAGCTCTGTACTAAGGGATCACACCTGGAGTGCTCAGGGGACTGTAGGGTGCTGGGGATCAAACCCAGGTCAGCCATATGTAAGGCAAGCACTTTTCTTGTTGGCCAAACCTCCTTATACATATTTTTTAGTGTGTCTGTTGGCTTTACTTTGTATATTTGTCTTGATGTTCATATCATGTGTTATACAGAGTTCATTATTTTTTCTGGAGTCATATTTTGTTACATGACTGTCATTTATTTTTATCCTTCTACCTGTTGGTGAATGTTTGTATTATTTGCCACTTTTTTAACTGTCACAACCAAAAGTACTTTGATAGTGTGTATCTGCATGGATACGTGTTTCCGTTTTTTAAAATTGGTAACTGTGAATTACAAAGTTACAAAGATATTCATGATTGAGTTTTAGGAGTACAATGTTCTAACACCAATCCCTTCATCAGTGTCTACTACCCTTCAGGAATGTCCCCAGTCTCCCTCCTGCCCCAAAGCCCACCTCTGCGGTAGGCACTTTCCCCCTCCATTGTTCTAATGCTCCCTTCCCTAACCTGTCCGTCTCCAAGAACCACCTCCACTCAAGTGGGAAGCTTCCTACTACAGATCAATTCTTGGGGCTGGGGCAATAGTACAGCGGGTAGGGCGTTTGCCTTGCACACGGCCCACCCGGGTTTGATTCCCAGCATCCCATATGGTCCCCTGAGCACCAGCAGGAGTAATTCCTGAGTACAAAGCCAGGAGTTACCCCTGTACATTGCCAGGTGTGACCCAAAAAGCAAAAAACAAAAACAAAAAAAACATCAATTTTCCTGCTTTTTCTATTCCCTTTGGGTATTTGATATTCCCTTACAAAGTTTCTTTATATCTCACATATGAGAGAGACCATTCTAAGTCTGTTTCTCTGTCTCAACATGATGCTTCACTCAGAATGATACTTTCCAGAATCTTCCACATAGCAGCAAATTGCATGACTTTGTCTTTTTTATGGCTTAGTAGTATTTCATTGTATCTGTGTGCCAGAGTTTATTTATCTAGTCATCTGTTCTTGGATACTTGGGTTGTGTCCAGATTTGGTCATTGCTGCAGCGAACATAGGAGTGCATATATCTTTTTTGCATTGTGCTTTTGAGTCCTTGGGGTATATATTCCCAGGAATGGAATTGCTGGGAATATACTATGGAAGCTCAATGAATTCTCTGATGGTATAGAGCATTTTTTAAATATGCCCTTGATATTTTTCTTGCCTAATTACTTCCAATATTGTGATGTATAGAAGTGATGAGAACGGGCAACATTGTCTTGAGCCTGATCTTGGAGGGAAGGCTTTTAGTTTTTCCTCATTGAGTATAATGTTTGCTGTGGTCTGGTGATAAATGTTTTTGACTATTTTATGGAAAGTTCCTTCAGTTCTCATTTTATTGTGGGGATTTTTTACTTGAAATACTATTTTCCAGCCTTTAACTTTGATTCTGTGTTCACCCTTACTATTCAGTTGTGTTTCTTGTAGACAACAGAATGTTGGATTCATTTTTCTAATCCATCCTGCCACTTTTTGTCTCTTAATTGATGCCTTTAGGCCATTGGCATTAGGTAAAGGTAAAGGTAAAGGCCCTCCCGTTGATCATCGATTTGCTCGAGCGGGCCCAGTAACGTCTCCATTGGAGACTTTGTTGTTACTGTGTCTGGCATATCGAATTCGTCACGGGGAGCTTGCCAGGCTCTGC